TTTCAGTTTGGTAATGCGTTTTAATTTAATGAAACTTTTGACAGTTATGGGTGGATCAATTTGATTGAGCATCAAAGAAAGAAATGTTTACTTTGTGTAATTGATGACAAAATGTGCTGATATATAAACTAAGTGATCAAATCATGCATCTTCTTATCAGTTTCATTATTAATCAAATGCTCAAGCCGATATTTTTTTTTTTGACTTTTCCTACGTACGCTAATAACGCAGCATCGTGCCGATCAATTTTCCTTGTTTGTGGATGAAAATAGCAAAAACTTAATGGCTAGTTTTCCTTAACTTGTTCGAGCAAATATAGTAACTTCACATATTATAATGGCTATCATTATATTTTCTGCGTCGGTGCGTTTGGAGAAGAAAGAAAATTATCTAAATATCAAGAACTAAGCTTTATTAATTCCCCGAAAAAGAAAGGGAACAAAGAGAGCTAAAGTAGATTAATGAAGGAGAGAATAGAAATGATGAGTGCAATCTGCGTAGTTTGCTATTTTGTTAGAGGCATTTATTGTTGGATCTTTTAATTCTAAAAGATGAGAATTTCTAATTACTCATTAGTTTCTCTTTCTTTATTGAGCCCATCACTTTATGTACAAAAGTTTTCCTCCACATGGAAGCTGAATATGATTGCATATTATTATGTTGGTCTCTTCTGGCGCATGGATGTCATTTAAAAGAATTTTCTTTGTATATCCAAAATAGAGTTTAAGCATTTTTCTAGCTTTATTATTGTGTCAAGCTATATTAAAGAAGCCACCAAAGTAAGAAAAGGTTATGATGGAAATGATTTAATTTTTCTTTATCTCAACCAATTCATCAAACTTTATTTTAGACATTTAGAGTTCAGATCTCAATTTATTGAAGACTACAAAATTACCTCACACAATTACACAGTAGAATCTACTGTTATAAGAATAAGATTAGGAGTGGCTGGCCACAAAATTCTTCCTTCTCTCCAACTACCTCGACTTATTTTAATCCAAAGGTTCCACTATCTTTTCTTATTACATGACACAAATTTAAGACTAAATAATTTGGTTGATTTAGGGCATAACTTCCATAAGTCTCGGCTTTATGAGATTCAATTTTTTTTTCTTTTTATTTACGTCAAATCCAAATCCAAATCATTATCATTATTAGCCATTAACAAAAACGTCGTCATAATGGAGCCGCCAGCATCTCACTTGAATGTCATTTCATTTGCTAATTCATTACCTAGATAGGTGCTTAGCTATAAAAAAAATGTATAGCTAGCAGAGCTTTAACTGACAGCAATAATTGCTATGAAGATGGCTGAGGTCAATGGCCGACTATTATTATGTTTTCAGTAATAGATTCATTGTCAGCAAGAAGCATCTCGCAATTATGTGTGATTTTGACCCATATGACGTTTGAAAATTTTGATAATTTGTAAGCGGATGCACGGTGTAAAGTTAAACATTTTCCCGAAGACGAAAACAAAATATGAAGTTGGGTTGGAACTTGGGGCCTAGATGCAATTTTCCCTAAAAAACATGGCTCATAATATGAAATTGTATTAAAATGACGTGAACCTTTAGATCTAAAGTAATTCAACGATCAAAAAGCTGACGATCATTTGGTGCACGTTTAGCTTTGTTTCGTTCCTTACAACTGAAATTTTAGCCATTTGCATCTATTTGTTTTCGCTGCGTCGTATAAAGTCGCAGCCGCAGTTAAAATGCCTCCAATTGCAAATTTGGTCACAAATCACATTTGCAGCAAATACGGTTTAAGCTAGGTCTGCTTGCTATTAATTTTAACAAAATCCCTAAAAGAACTTTGATACCCCAAAACCAAGCAATTATAGCAACTGGCGTTTGACTGCGATCAAGCAAAACCGAACAACCCCTCTAAATTCAGCACCAACTCCTGTCCGGGGTTTTTCTATATATCATGGAATATCAAGTTGCACATCATCATCATCAAAGTGAAAGATAAAATATATCGGTGGGCTTAAAAAATGATTCTCGGTGACCATGTGATTCGGAACAACACCAAATGAGCGCACCCCTGTTAGGTTGGCTGCAAACATCCAGCCACGAAAAGACTCAATTTAAAGCGGTGCGCTGATTTCGACTACGCGCAGAAAATATGCTGCTTTTTCTTTTTTTTTGGTGATATATATCGTACTGCATTTACATACTAGTCAAAAAAATCATTGAACGGTACTAAATTGATAGAGAGATGGACCATATAACCTTTTGTTCACAATTGGTTCACAAATCTCCATGGTACAATTGAGCAAGATTCACTCAAGGCCAGCATATGTAGATATGGATTTGAACATCCATTGCCGCTACCATATCATATCCTGTATTTTACATGGGCATCCATCCTCGACATAAATCATACAATCATCTCATTCAAACAAATCGACGAATAACTAGCCATTGAATTCATTATGCCCGTCTGCAATAAGCCATCTTTTGTTCCATTTTCGGGCATGTATCCCATCCCATATACACTTCAACTTAATGTTTACTTCAAAGATAATAAGTAACATATCAAGTGCATTCTTGATCTTGATCATATTTCCACAACTTCAGCATGAGAATTCGCAAACAAGAGAATTACTAACTCACAATCCCCATTTTTTAACTTCTAATTTAAGCTACAGAGATAAGAGGAACGCCCAGAACCCGCGCATGGTCTCTCTAAGAAAGAGATCACTTTCTCATTGTACCTCTTGAAGACAATTTCCAATAAATAGGAGAATAGCAGCACAGAAGCAAACCTCAAATGCTTTTAAAAAAAAAGTTACATATCAAGCACAGAACTACTATAACCCTTCGCAAACAAGTAATTAGGCTCTTTAAGGTAAACTAATCCTCACATGATGTCAAAAATTGTAATAGAAAGATAAACCTCTAATAAATGATTGTGATATTATCTCTCAACTTGCATCATTATTTGGAGCATTTACCAGCTAATACCTCTGCAGATTAGGATGCTAAACCAACGATGCTAGTTAGTCGTATGAAGGTGGGTTCTGTGGTTATGCTACGCACATCCATCTTTCCCGCACACAACAGATCAATAACAGATAAAAGGTTTGTTTCATGAAGGAAGAAAAAACTATAGAGAGCTCTAAATAGGAAATCATATTAGAGAAGAAGAAGATATTTATTTTTTCAAATGGCAACTTTCCTTAGCCATTTGGTTATGTATATCAATTAATGCTACATTTGAAATAATTTTAACCTTAAATTGTCCATGTTTTTCCTCTTACTATCGCTTAAGATGCAAGGCTTCAAAGAATTAAGATTCACATTACAAGGTGAGTTTTCTACTAACAATGCATTTACATTGTGTCCAAGTTCTTTGTATTATAGTAACGTGGGGGACAAACTCTTAAGGAATTCAGTGGCTACATGAATACAATTTTGTATCATTTGTAATATAGTAACTTGAGGAGCAAACACTAGAGGATTCAGCGGATACACAAATACATATATGTATTTTCAGCATATCAAGCAGCGGTCCAACTCTATGTATTCTATATATTCCTATCCATTCCTCCTTTCAAGTCACTGCAAATATTCAACAAAGGAAAAAATAAAGGCTAGGTAAAAATGCGGTCTCACTAGCTATTCTAGGGCGTTATGCTTTAGTGGTTTCATTAGCTATTCTAAGGTGTTATCTTTAAATTCTCTCTTCCTTCATTCCTTTTACTTTACATAATTTTTAAATCTTTCTCTGTTAAAAAGGACTATTATGGCAAACCAAACTGAAAACAGGAAAATGGAGAAAGCTATACATGCAATAGATTTTTCTAGTCCAGATGTGATGTTGGAAAGGCCATCATCGCCTTTCATCCTTATGACCTATGTAGCACGGACACGGATCCGACACGGCCATCCGACACGCCGACACGAGGCAAATCCTAAAAAATACATAGGATACGTGTATTCGACACGTGTGTCCGACACGGACACGACACGACACGGCTTCATGTTATGCGTGTTCGTGCTTCATAGCTTATGACTAAACTAATAGCAATACTGTCAGGGTCTTTGGCGTACGAAAAAATATATGCTTAGTGAAGAAGATTCATGAGAGCTTTATGGTCAATAATCACATCTAGCTACTATTTTTTGCCATACATTAGCTAAGACAGCTTATTTGTTAGCAAAAAAAAGCTAGATTTGATCTGTATTCACAAACTTGATGACAAACAATTTGATGCAGGAGAAAATTATTACTCGTCAAGAGATGGTTAGCAGCATTAAATCTATTGTTGGGGATAATGATTTGCTGGTTTCTATCGTCAAAGCTGACAATACTAAGGTATGAATTCATGTCAAAATTTATCTGTTTCATCTTTCCAAATTTTTATTACTTGGGCAAGTGTCATTTGTTAGATGTTTAAGTAAATATTTAAATTAAGAATGTTTGAAAGGATAATAAAAACATACACTATATATATACTTTGACCAATAACAAATTTATGAAATATATAAGTAAACTTTGCATCAATGTAAGTTATTTTTTAAATATACGACATTGTCATAATGTGAATCTATCTCAGAGGAACATATGTTTATTTTGCTAGCAAGGTATTTATCATTAAGTTATAATGTACTCGTGATTGAATGTATTGTTTTCTTAAAAGAATCATCCATTTTATATTTCTAATACTGTTCAAAATATACTGTTTTCCCGTTTTGTAGTTAAAGGCGGCATCGGTGAAGGCTAAATCAGAATGATGCGGGGGATGATTGTTAACTGGCCGGTTCCTTCTCTCATCTGTTCAATCCACCCTTCATATATTGTCATGAAATTCAAACAATAACATGCCATGTTTTGAAACTACATGCACTACGACAAAAGATTTTAGATTTTAACATCACTGATAGCAGAAGATGGCAATTCATGAGCACAAAACAACGACAAGAGATTTTAGATTTTAACAGCACCCATAGCAGAAGATGGCAATTCATGAGCACAAAGTTAACCTAAAATGTATTAACCATTACATGTCTTACCTTAATTAGGGAGAAAGTGGTATAACAACAATACCACTAAAATAATGTGGAGCATTGCATGAGAAGCATTGAAATACAACCACCACTTTATGAAATAAAACTAAGATAATCAAATAGGGGCAAAAAATTCATCCCATGACAAGGGACTACATCACCGCAAGTAACATGTCTTATATAGGCAAACCTCAAACGAAATGCACCAATTATTGAAACCACAAACATCCCTAACAAAAGACAACAATACACCTAAACCCAATTCAAATTTACCACATCACAATGAAGGAAGAATTCTGACCTCAGTTGAGTGCGCCCGCTTTGGTTTGCCTAGCTAGCTTAGTCCATTCAGTATGGAAAGACCCAGGGCGATCAATCCTCTCATAAGTATGAGCTCCAAACAAGTCCCTCTGAGCCTGCACCAAATTTGCTGGAAGTCTCGCCCTCCGATAAGTATCAAAATATGACAAACTAGCACACATCCCAGGAGTACTAATCCCCGACTCAATCGCCAATCCTACAACTCTTCTCCAAGCTCCTTGTCTCTGCACCATCTCTCTAGCAAACTCTGGGTCCACAATCAAATTAGGAAGGGCCCGGTTCCTCTCATATGCCTTCTTGATCCTATCGAGAAACCTAGCTCTTATAATGCACCCACCTTTCCAAATCCTTGCGAGTTCTCCCAAATTAAGATTCCAACCCTTTTCTTCACTCTTCGCCCTTAGCAAGTTCATCCCTTGTGCATAACTGCATATTTTAGAAGCATATAATGCTTGTCTCACATCATCAATTAGCTTCTTCTTGTCAACTGATCTCAATTTAGGGGTTTCAATCCCCGCTTGATCGAGAATTCTTGCAGCGTTCTCTCTTTCTTCTTTTAAGCCACTAAGATAGCGGCCATCGAGAGATGCTGCGATTGTTGGGGCAGCGATTGAGAGCTCTGCTGCTTGTTGGACTGTCCATTTTCCAGTCCCCTTCATTCCGGTCTTGTCGAGGATCTTATCCACCAACTCACCTTCACCATGCTCATCCCTAACCTTGAAAATATCAGCTGTAATCTCGATCAAGAAGCTTTCAAGCTCCCCACTGTTCCACTGGGCAAAAATATCTGCCATTTCTTGGTTTGATAATCCACCGACAGTCTTCAACACATCATAAGCTTCTGAAATTAGCTGCATGTCACCATATTCGATGCCGTTATGGACCATCTTGACAAAGTTACCTGAGCCACCCTCGCCAATATAGGTCACGCATGGGCCATCATCGACCTGAAAGAGGCACAAATCCAGCACTAGAAATCAATATGGGGAGAAAGGAAGAAACCATAAATATGGTAAACAATGTGATTAATTTGCCAAGACAAGTAAACTGCTCTGAAAAGGCAAAAACAAGTATCAATGGATAATCTAGTTCTTGAAAAAAATAAATAAAGAAGAGGAAATACATAGAAAGGAAAGTATGAGAATTGCTAACAACTTTCATCTATGTCCATAAGTAAATGAAGCAAGTGATTGATATTTAGCCTCACATGATAATTGACCAAGACTCTTCATCTTTGATGAGCATATCAACATAGAAGAAATGTGCAGTATTACTTCATACAGTGCGCATAAAATAAGTAGAAGAAAATTATCAATCGTTGAGATAGCATGACAAGAATTCAACAATATTAAGCAAATTTCATAATCCAGAAAATATACAACCAATTTCCTATAAAATACACATTAAAACCGAAGAACATGAAGAGCTGGTCCATGAAAAAATAAGAGCAGAGCAGTTGAAAAACATTAGCAGCATAATGAACCTTTTCAAAACACTGAAAGTCAGATGATTCACCAAAAATAGGCACACGTGGTAGTACTTTTCATAATCTTGGTAATATCATAACATAAAAATTCAGAAAAGGAACCATCATCAAAACAAAAATGATAAAGAAACAAGAGATTCAGAAAAAATCTTGAGCATCTAGTTTTGAGTTTTTAAAAATACAGCTAATTTGAAATCTTAGAAACACACATATGCATATAGCTGCAGATAAACAAATGGAACCATTGTCAAATACAAACAACTATCGAAAAGGAAGATCTTTACTAAACTAGTAACATAGGCAGAAAAAGTACTAAAACAGATAGCAAAGGCATCACAAGTACAAGTAACAAGCACTCCCAACAACACCTAACAAAAGGTAATATATGGCTTAAAACCATTATTTCTTCTATATGACGACCCACTTTGTTAAATGGTTGTCCAAAACCCTTCCATTTAGAACATAAGTATCATATCCCAAATACTAAAACAGATAATAAATTATTAATAATAATAAAGTACAAGAAAACACGAACATCTACAATGAATCAATATATCAATTATGAATTCATCTTAAACCCAATCTTTAATTAAAAAAATTATAATATAGGTGTTTCCCATGAACAAGAGGTTGTTTTAACTCGATAACTCTACACAATATAAAATTCCAGCAAAAAATTTCTCATTTACCGTTAGAGACAGCTGATGAGTAACCAACTTGAAGAGGATCAGGATAACTAAATTTTCCAAAATAACTACTTACAATAATGTTTTTACAATAGACAGCTTATGAAATTAACTTGATATGACAAAAAAAGCTACAATGACCGCATTTGTCAAACCAATTTGGTTTTATTGCATAGAGATATGGGTGCTAACAGGTTAAACTTGGGTTCAGATTTGGGTCTAACCTACAAGATACACTTGCATCCCCACTGAATTTGGACCTAATTAAGGATCCAAGTCCACAAAATATCTAGGATCCACTTGAGGATCTAAAACTATCGGGTTTCGCTTTATGTAATAACTAATATTCAATGACTCTCTAATTCAGCAAGAATACCAATTATTTCTTCCTAAATATGATAATTTAAGGATTTTTACTAAGAATCTAGTAGGAAGGTTTTTCTTACTATATAAGTTTGTTCCCCTATATTTGGGAAATATATTTAAATGTGAGCAAATTTATACTTAAGAGGGTTTTGATCTTTAAGGATCCATATCTAAATTTATGGATCCATATCAAGATCCAATAACCTATCGGATATGACTAAAAGTTCCATACTCAAAGATTCAAGTCAGATTCAGATAAGGCCCTACTCCCGCCAAACGTTTTTAGAAAAGAAACAAAATTTTGCAAACATATATACAACCTTTAACAGCAAGAATCTAAAACATATTATGAAGACACATAATACTAATGTAGTGTACATGAGCAGTGATATTGGATTAAAGAAGAAGTTTGAGAATGACCAGCCATCTATATTATACACCTGCAATCTCTTAGAAAACAAAACAAATCCACAAAAACATTCTAAAAAGTTGCTGAAGTTGGCTAAAAACTTCTTTAAGAAATTTAGGCCTCAACTGCATTTTAAGATAGGCTTACATTATATCTAACAATAGATAAGTTGAGACTAATTTTTCATGAAAAATAGGTCTGCAAAACTAAAAGTAAACATATATTTGATTCCAACCTTAGATAGTATATATCCTTGATGTTGGGGTTTCACACAATTTGAGTCTTACTACCCAGAAAAATATTCAATGACAAGCAATTCGAATCCTCTCCACTACCAAAAGTATTTGGTAGTGCAGAGACTACTACTTTTACTTCCAACAGTCTAGCTCACTTCTATTTTTCACTTAGGGGCTGTTTGGTTTGTTTTTTAACTCGGTGGAAAAGTTTTACACCGCCTCCACATCAGATATTTCGTGGCCACGTATAGGATATAAGTTTTCCGTTGGTTTTTTTTCCTATCTTTGGTTCGCTAGAGTTGAAGAAGGGAAACTCGGTGAAAATCACCGCCACAGATTTTTTTTCTCTCCCCCAATTCCTTCCTCAACCTCGTGAAATCGACGAAAACTGCAGCCACGTCGGCTTTTTGCCATATAAACAAAAGTTTTCCCTTTTTCCATGCGAACCAAACACATGAAAAATAAATACATTGGTTTCCCACCATTTTTTTTTTGCGAACCAAAGCGAAACAATCTATTTCTTGGAAAAGTTTCGAAAACTCAAAACTTGTGTTTTTGTACATGGAAATGTATTTCCCTATATCTAGGAAACGAACCAAACAGCCCCTTAAGACAAATCAAAATTGTTCACAAAACAAATAGACAGTAAAAAATAAAAGTATTGGCCTCTCCCCTAATACCAATGAAAATAGCCTTCCTTTAATACCAAAATCTTAGCATCTCTTCTCAAACTTTCGAACAATAGATTCTACTAGGAAGTGGGAGCAATTCTAATCAAAAATTTAAGTTGAATGATTACAATAAAAAGATTTGAAATTTATACAGGATACCAAAGTTGCGATCTAAGAGAAGATATTCTTCACATTATTATAATCCTAATAAACTTGACGCTAACCTCATTATGCTTTCTCATTAAAAAGTAAGCACACATCTTATTCCAAACTTGTAAACTACATCCCTTCCCACTAGGTTTTTATACAATTGGGTCTTACTACTCAGAGAAATAGAATTAATAAAATTAGCTTCTATGGTAACAAAACCTAAGGTTCATTGGAGAACAATTCCGTGCAAAAAGTTTTAACTTTTCCAACATTTCCAATAAAAAAAAGTGGATGCAACATCCAAAAAAAATTCCTAAATAGAAAGTAATGCTCATTTATTATCACAATAAACTACTTTTTGTCAACTTTCTGCTTTCAATTTACTTTGCAGTAGAAAAAACGCCCATAATATCAAATAATTCTATCCCCAAATCAAAATTTGAAACCTAACCCAACTTCAATCTATTCAAACTTTACAAATAATAACTCCAATCAAAACATCCAAAATTTCGACACATTACCTGCGCCGCGATCTTGGAGAGTATGTCCTGCACATTATTATACGCCATCATGGATCCCCCGGGCATCAACGACGGCCCATTTCTCGCCCCATCCTCACCGCCGGAGACCCCCATCCCCAAATACAGCAACCCCTTCCCCTGCGCCTCCCTAATCCGCCTCTCGGTATTCTCGTACCACTCATTCCCCCCATCGATGATCGCATCCCCAGGCTCCATGAACTGAGTCAACGCCGCTATCGTCTGGTCAACGGGAGCTCCCGCCTTCACAAGAATCACAATAGATCTCGGCCGGGACAGCGAGAGCACGAAGTCCCGTGGGCTGTAGTGGCCCGTTAGCGGGAGGTTGCCCTCGACCTCAGCCCTGTGGACAGTTTCGTCGACTTTCTAGGTTTTGGTCCATGACGGCGAGGCCGGCGAGGCCGATGCGAGAGAGGGCGGCGGACTCCATGGGGATCTGATTCTAGGGTTAGGGTTAGGGTTCCGGAGATTTGGGGAGACTTTTGGGGGTTTCAGAAATGGCGGAGGGGCGGAGGGAGGTATTTGTTGTTTGCGGGGGCAGTCATCGTCGTTGAGTGTGTTGTTTGCAATTAGGGCCCTGTGTAAGTTTTTTGTTGCTACTTTTTTGTTTTTTGTTTTTTTTTCGTAGTGTTTTTAATTTGACAATATTTTTCATTGAATTAGTTTTCGAGAAATTTTTTTCCTTGTGGGTTTAGACAAAAACGTTAATAAACACTCATTGGTAAAAAGTGCGTCTAAGTTTCTAAATAATATTTATTTTTTTCTAAAAAATATTTAAACAATTATCCAATATTGATACTTACATGAATATCATACATTTTACTACTAACCATTTTAATAATAGATTTAAATATGAAATTGTTACTATAAATCAATCTAATAAAAAAAATTAAAAATAAGCATATTTGCTATCATATTAAATTAGAGGCCAAAGATATAACATGTTTAATGAAATTTTAATCAAATTATGGTATTGTTTTAAGTGATTAAGCTTGACATAGGAAATGGGAGCTCTAAAGTGTTTTTAGCAAATAAAGAAAGCTTGCTTACTAAAAAATATAGGTCTTTTCTGTAATTAAGGATTGTTTAGGAGGCAGTACTTCAAGTTGCAACCGAACTTTGTCCCCTCTAGAGTTGACGGACTCATCGAGGTAGCCAGAAGACAGAAAGGATTTGTTTATGTTTATTTATTTGTTATTTATTTATTTTATTGTATTTATATAAGTATGAAACTCGAGCAGAATTTACTGGGGACACTTGGAGATGGCGATCCCGTCGAAGCAACGAAGAGCCGGACAAAACGCAACGGAGTGTGCGGTTATTAGAGGTGAAAGCCTCTTGGCGGCCGGGAATGTATCATTTGTTTCTTTAAATACCAGCAAAATTGATCTGCGGGTTGACGCGGCATTTGCGTGTAAACAATAAAAAATATAGTTTAAGTATTTGACATGAAAATACATTGTACATCTAATAACTTGAATAAAATAGCAAGTTAAAGCAAAATATATCATCTTACCATGATACAAACTACTAACATGCAATAGTTTAAAATTAATTCTTTCAAGTATGTTAAAATCAAGGTGAACTAAGAATGTGTGGGTCTAAAAGTAAATGAATATAAAACTTTTGGTTTAAACATAAAAAATTCATTTTAAAAAGTGAGTGAGTTTAAAAAATAAATGAAGCAAAAAAAAAAAACACATCTATAGTTCATTTTAAAAAGTGAGTGACTTTAAAAAATAAATGAAGCAAAAAAACACATCTATGGTTAAAATATCTGGTTACATAGTACACCTAACAATTTAGAAAAAAATTATTATGAATATGAGTAGGCTCAAAAAATAGAGGGGCACTGTGGCCAAGGGCCAAAAAACAAAAAAAAAACTTTATGGATTAAATATTTAGTTCAAATGAATATTTTGGATCTCAAGAGTGATCTTGGAGATGAATGACTTTAATAATAATTAAAGACAAGCTTTTGGACGTATATATAAGAACACCTTTTAGGAAGAGAGTAAGTTAAAAAAGCAATGGACAAAACTTTTGAATTTATTTACGAAAAATATCTTTAATGCTGCCTCATTGGCATGGGGAAAGTAAATATGTAACACTGTTAAGTTTTTTATTTATAAAATACATGGTGTACCAAAACAGTAGGATTTCTATGAAAACCACCCCTATAAAAGTGAGGTGGTTTACACCATTAATAAAATAACCATAATTTACAAACTAACATTTTAACCACCCATGAGTAGTATAGATTACGCGCTATTAGATAAGATGTTCTGATAGAATCCCTACTCTATCTAACTACTTAGAACAAAATTTTACATGTTAAAATGAAATATACTTACATATATAGAAAACTGCCAAAATACTTTTGATTTAGAAAAGAAAAATATTTGCAAAGAGGGTGAATTTAAAAATAAATGAGCATAAAACCTTGAACTTTTAGGAGAAAACTTATCTATCATTTAAGACATTACAACAGTATGAAAAAAAGAACCTAAAATAAGGCTTAAGCATTTGGTCTAAAACACTGTACACCTAGATTCTTAGAAAATAAATATAGCAAGTCAAAGTGAAATATAACAACTTACTAGATATATAAACTGTCACAAATTGAGCTTAAAATAGATTGGTGTAGTTTTTTGACTCTATGAGTGATTTCTGAGATGTGTAGTTTAAAAATAAATATATCTAATACTTTATATTTATAATAAAAATTCATTGTAATGGGTAGGTTTAAAAATAAATAAGGATAAGATTTATAGTAAATAATCAATCTACAGTTGTTGCTTATGATATAACAAATTTATGAAATATAAATTAAGTTTAGAAATAATTCATTAGAGTATTTTAGGTCAAAGACTGATTCTAAAGTGAGTGAATTTAAAAATAAATTAGAGAATTCTGGGTTTATAGCAAAAAAAAACTCTTTATATGGTCCTTCATTATATTATTATATTATATTATTGGATTTGATGGAGTATTTTAGGTTTATAATTATTTTTTCAAGTAGGTGGACTTAAAAAAATTGTGTTAGCTTATTGGGTTTATAGATAAAAACTTATTTACTTATTACTATTTTTAACTACATTGAACTGATGTTGTGGAGCAAAGAAAAGTTTCAAACTCGCGAAGCATTATGTACTTGAGATGGATTTTTAATGTGGTGGATTTATAAGTGAATTTGGTTGAACATTGGTTTTGTAAATAATAATTACCTATTGTCGCTTTTAACAATAATCTATTGGGGGCAATATTGTAGAATGAATAGTGCTAAGCTACAGTGCTAACCCTAATAGCTTTAGTATATAGATAAGTATGAAATGACACTTAATTTACACATAGAGAAAGAGAATGAGTACCTAAAAAAAGAAATGAGGATTGTCATGTGTTAGACCCTAGAGGGGGAGGGGGGGTGATTAGGGTCTTATGCTAATCTAATCCCGATTAAAAGCTAATTAAAATAATATTGATTAATTTATTCTTGCACGAATGATATAAGATAGATATGAGCAAGAAATATATGAATAAGAACAAATAAAAAAATACGCTAAGCAAAACACAAACAAACGATATGTTTACGAGGTTCGGTCACCACGACCTACGTCCCCGCTCCTCACCTCGAAGAGATCTCCACTATCACAATCCGGTTTGGAAGCTGGAACTTTTACACACTCGGTTTACAAGCTTATCAAAAACTCTCACACTATGCAATCATACTTCACACACTAAGTGTAGGAACCTAGCCCGTGTCCTCCTCCTCAAGTGCTCGGATGCAACCTCTCCCTAGGTTCGTCAACCGACGCCACTCCTATTGAATTCGACCCCGTCTCTCGCCTCACACTTCTCTCAGTGTATAAGTGTATTACAAGTGATACTCACAAATGAAGATTAAATACAATGGTTTGTTCTCAACAACAAATGAGAACGCAAATGAATCTCACACTCACTAAATCACACCCCACAACCCACACTATATAGTATGAAAATATTAAGCTCAATATTGTGTGTGTGATAACAGTGAATGAAAAATATGTAACTCAATAAATATAGCTAAGATGTGAAAATGAAATTATAAGCTATATGAAAAGATGAGTTGAGAAAACTTCTCAATAAACAAGAAGAACAGTAGAGGATGAAGAGGATGGAATCCTCAGTTAAAATGAAAAGCCTCTTCTTGTAGTAGCATACTTCTTTTAAAGCAGATGATCAGAAACAGCTTAAACAACTTTTTAAACACACTTAAGATTTTTATTAAAACTTCACTGTAAAACAAAACTTGGTTGTTTGAAAGAGAGCAGCAATGAGGTATTTATACCCACTCAAAATATCAGCCAAAACAAACTTGAAAAGACCAAAACAGTCCCAGAAAATCAAATCAGAAAATAGTCATTGGAAAGCAATTATGAGATCGGCGGTCGACCGTGGAAATTTCGCGGTCGACCGCAAGGCACAAAAAGGCTGAGCATAGGAAATAAAGGCTGGCGGTCGCCCGCAAAAGTCTCTGATGGATTCACGGTCGACGCCATAAAAATGCAGACTATAAAAAATAACCGCTGGCGGTCGACCGTGGCGGTCGACCGCAAACTGATATATGGCATATGACAGGTTTTTGGACTGATTTTAAAAATATATTAAAAATATTAAATCAATTCCAAAAATAGTAAAACTTTGGGGAAAGTTTCTAAATGACGAAATAAACATGTTTGAAAAGGAATTTTTGGAAAATCAATTTTCGTTTGTGAAAACTCCCTATTTTTGAAAAGTGTTCAAAAAACCTGTATTTTCGTGAACATGAAAATTGAGATATGACTTGTAAATACGTATATATATATCATGTATATATTATATATATATAAACAAGTGTGAATGAGCTGTAAAAAAACTAGAGAATAGATTAGCGATAAATTGTTTGACAAATCATCATCAAAACTATAGGGCCAACAATCTCCCCCTTTTTGATGATGGCAAACAATTTATTTAAAGATATGAAATACATATTGATAAACCACATATAACATGAATAAACTATATTAACATGAATTCAAAAACCATATATTCCATCAATATGAATTAAACATTATACTGAACATACATATTTTCTCCCTCTTTGACAACATCAAAAAGGGGGGAAAATATAAATAGGAGCAACGCTCCCCCTGCATTCAAGCACAGATAATAATCAAGTGTATGGACACAAAAAGCTCCCCCTGTCAATTTGCATAAATGACATATAAAGATCATATATAGGAGCTAAATAATCATAATCATAATCATTCATACACATCCATAAATATTTAAAATTTAAAGTCCAAACCAAGCATAAAGCATCATTAGCAACATGTTTTCACAAAACCACATATTTGTTTTCACAAAACAAGGCATAAAATATTTTTTTTACCATACACTGTTCATGATAAACTAACATAACCACAATAAACCAAATTAGTCCCACAAAACTACATCGTTTACCACACAAACCATACATAATTTGCTCCATAATAACACATAGTTTTCCACA